AAAAAAAAAAAAAAAAAAAAAAAAAAAAAAAAAAAAAAAAAAAAAAACTTTTTATGATTTGCTATGCTGCATTTACTCGAATTCCACATTGTTTGTGTTGATGGAGACACGCAGACGATACTTAGTATACCATATCGCAATAAACCGACACGCATGTCGACATGAGATTGTTACCATGTGCTACTGCTACTGTATTCCGATGAGCAATGATAAATACCTAACAGTAAATCCTGTCGTTTGTAATGAGGACGATCACTTTCATTCATTTCTGCTTTTTGAAGGTAATTACTGTGAATGACACGTTAAATGATTTTTGTAATATTAATCTTTCTCGTTCTAGATGGTAGACATTCCAAGTTGTACAAGTTGTTTATACGAGGACATTTTCCCGGCAATGTCCCATTAACTGTCCCTAATAATGGCTCGTAATATAATGGAAAATGTTGAACGTGTTCATTCAATTATATCGAACCCAATTTGAAACTCCGTCATGACTAAAAGAAAAAACGTTTGATAAATATTTGCGCAGGGCAACAATGGATAACTAACAAACAATGGACTCGCACGATTATATTGTACATAATCCATATAAGATGTCACAATGAAAAAATAACAGCACTATATTACACACATACATGTGGGATTTTACTTCCTGAAAAATCATTGTTTGTATTTTGTTGTGAAACATGTGAAAAAGTGTCGAATGTGCTCCTATAACAGAATCTTATATTGCTATGGACATAGACAATGTGCTTCACGAGAAGTTCTTATATACCCAGTGTATGTCCTTGGGGTTCGAACAGTGATTACCTTCCCATATCGCCTCGTGATGCAATGCTGACAGATGCATTATTACGTTTCCAATTAAATTACTTTGATATTCCCACGCTGACATCCATGTAATAGCATGCACACGACGGGTTATCTTTGTAAAATGTAACATACAACTTACATCACCACCAGGCACTGCTTTCATCGTGATCTGCATCGTGATCGTGTCTGGTCACTGTCAGCGCAATCAGTAATTAGATTTATGATGCTACTTGTTCTGTAAAGATGTCTTGAAGATTTGGGGGTGAGGAAAATATACTGTAAATACAGTTTATAGAAATACATGGAATGTAAAAGTTGGGTCTATATTTGATGCTACTTTGATGGAAAAATACACATACATATCTATATCTATATACGTGTGTATTTAGTAGTGTTTCATTGCTGTTCGTTTCTTCTGCGTCGAAGAACAAATCTGACCTCTGTTTGAATCACGAAGTGTAGGAGTGGGTGTCCCATAAAAATATATGTAACTAACAAACAGGTGTCAATTAGGAATTCAAAGTATCAAAGTATCTATTTGATAGTATATTTTGTTTAAATTTGGATTACATCTCCGATATTGCTGCAATTGTATTCGTAGTTGTTATAATACCTTGTAGTGTATCTGTGCAGTATGGGCGTGCCCTGTGATACGTTTTACTCACGTGCACATGAATGCGGATAGCCGTGTGGTACGGCAGTGTTTTCTTTAGTACGCCAAACGAGAATTGCCGTCAGTGGAAGTTACATTAATCGCTTTAATATTTGTTTTTTGATGTGATTTTTATAATAGCTCCCCAATTTAGTGTTCAAGCTTTATGAGTAAGTTTTTTTCTATATTTCCACTCAGTTTGTGATTTTTTTATCTCTTTCTGACAGGATGAAAAGAAACAAACCCTGAAGATCAACGCATGGCTGACATTGGTAAGCCAGGTCACTATACTGTGACGTAGATCAAATCCCAGCTCTGCCAATATGTAGTTATGCATTCATATTTAATGTAGTTAAGGTTTCGGTTACTGGATAGGAAAAACACTACACGGTATTAGTCATCAAAATGCCGTAGATATTCCTTTGGGAAAATTGCTCTGCGACACGGATGCATTGAACATACGGTGACACCCCTTTAGCAACATGGTATAGTCTAATTTACGTGTCAATTTAAAAAAAAAACGTCAGCCTGCGTTCGTCGCGTGACTTATGCGACGTGCGCTCACCGTTGTCTTAATCCGCTAAACCGTGTCGAAAGGTCAACATTAAAATTTAAAATTAATCAATTAAGTGTAATTTATTTCTACAAAGAATTATAAATTCATGGGCGAATACGACGACGCTTTATATCGGGTGCGTGACAGGGCGCGTGGAAACAGCGATAGAAATGCCGTGATAAAACCGGATATGACCTCATTTTCCAACAATTTCAGTTATATATGTACTTACATGTGAAAATTGAGAACTCGCTTCACAAACTCAAGATAAATATTTCCCATATGTATATTACACAAAAACGTCAAAATAATAATATTCGTCGTCGCCTCAACCCTTAATCTTACATCGACCAGCGCACACAGCCGGAAATTACTTCTGTCAAATGCTAGTATCGTGAATACGGAGGTCAGCAGTACCTCGTTACCCAATAACCACCAGTGAAATATTGATTACAACTGAATAATACGACGTTGATATGCAGAATAAAAAGTTGTTAGACTACTGACCTACTCAACACACCCGGCATTTATAATTTTAGTGACACTGAGTTTATATTCTTTTCCCTTGTTGTCATAGCTACCGTGTATAATAATTGTATAATATTAGCTATAGCCTAAACAAGTGTTCCAGCTAAATATCATTACAATTATTTGACATTACAGATTAACATGATGCGTCTAGGAATATAATAAACCGATATACACTCATTTTATAACATATCCCCAGCGTGAACATTCCCATCATTACGTCATTGCACCAACCATTAAAAATATACATGTTTCCGTTTAAATAAACACGGTAGTTTATTTTCTTTTACCACGTGATGAATGATGGATCCGCCATGACTGACGTGTTTACTTCACTATTATGATTATTTATCTCACAACTCATATTGAAATAATACATTACAAAAAAAAAAAACTACTAAAATACTAAAACAGATTATTTGAGTTGTAATGGCCCATGGAAGCAGCAAATCTGCTTGTAGGGTACGGGTCGCCATCAGTTATACATACGATAATAAATAAATAATTATGTAGCTATTGGTGGAAGAATGAAAGGAGAAAGAATAAATTACATAACTGAGGAAAAATCGATAAAGTAAAGAATAAGTACGACATTGTTGATTCACCCTCCCCACATAGGTTATTGATTAATGAGGACATTTATGTTAATTGCATTATATTATGTAAACATAGATGTATACAATTACATATTTTGCAATGAGAATTGATTTGTATTGCGATTTAAATTCGTTTATTTTTTTTTGTACAACTTTCAGAGATGGATTGACGAGTACCTTACTTGGAATACCACAGACTATGGCGGCATTGAAAATATTAAATTGCCCTCCGATATTATGTGGATGCCCGACGTTGTCCTTTACGACAAGTAAGTATCGCGAAAGGCAGAATTCTCGCACACTGTGTGATTTAATACGCCATCTTTGTTTGTGTGTGCGTGAACTTTTGAAGAAATGATTCAAGCTATTTTAAACTCTGCTGTGGATGGGGAGGGAGTTGAGAGAGAAATGCAACTGTTCCCACCCAAAAGTGGCATTGATGTTGGAAGTTAAAGTAGGGGAGTCGTCACCTGCGCATGCGTCAGATGTCCATAGCGTGTCATTGTTTACAAACACTCGACTCTCCATGAACCTTTGCGTATGTTGTTATCGTCGCTTGGGGCTCAATAACGCGCGTGCGCAGGTGACAATTATGTCAATTTATAATGAAAATTCTACCCTACAATTTAATATTATTTTACACGTTTCAGTGCCGATGACAAGTATATAAATTTTCTACGAGACAAAATCGCTGTGGTCTACCACAATGGTGACGTCATGTGGGCATCTCCCGTCATTATGATTAGTCACTGTATGATTGACGTCACATATTTTCCGTTTGATAATCAGCAATGCCGTCTAAAATTCGGCCCTTGGCAACACGAAGGAACCGAAGTGAATGTAACGGGTGGGGGTAAGTATGTTTACTTTAAAAGAACTGCTATTGATTTTATATATTATTTCATATGATGACGGAACTTAATGTGTGTGTATAAGGAAAATAATAGACCACTTGTACAATATATAAACTCTAATGGTCTCTTGAGTAAACTGTCTGTTGCATTTCAATGTAAACTATAGCGAATGTGACAAGGGGTCGGCAAGAGACTCGCATTACATTTTAAACTGGAGTTATCTCCAAGTGATGTTTATGTTAGGAACGTTGGAAACATTTATCTACGACGATGTTTTCAGCTATGTAAAAATTAAAAATAGTCAGTATAGTAACATATATTCAGAAAAAAATGCGGGAATTCAACCATTGTCGCGTTTTATTAACATTCCTGTTATTCACCGTGACTGTGTTATGCCTATTGTGTGCACTTATTTCCTGGATATTGATATCAATGTAATGTTATCGTCATTGATTTATTAATTGGTAGCATGTTTCAGACATGTTGTAACATGGAAGTTCAGTCATAGTTAATAACATTGGCAATTACAAATATTTGCACGACTCGGATGTCACGCGAGATGCTGAGTGAGAAAACAGGTTGCATTCATCAAAATATGTACGTTTAAGAAATATTCATTTGCAGGTGACAAGTCTGTGTTTATCAGTGACGGCGAATGGGACATGACAGGCGTCGAAACTATCAACAATATACAGTACTACCCAGACGCTCCCGGCATTCCTTACACGGATGTGACGTATTACATACATCTTAGACGCCGTTCTTTGTATTATGTCTTCAATCTCATTATGCCCTGTGGACTTATATCTGCGGTTACTATATTGACTTTTTTTCTCCCGCCTGAATCCGGGGAGAAAATCAGTCTGGCAATAACAGTGTTGTTGTCGCTTACCGTGTTCTTGTTGCTCGTGGCAGAGACAATGCCTCCCTCTAGCGTCGTTCCAGTCATAGGTATGTTTACTTTGTTTTTATGGGTCTACCTTGTACATCGTTCGTTGTTAATGGCAGATGCATTCAATAAATTAGCTAAATCATGGGTGACGTAACATACACACGCAACATACATACAATTTCACTCAGAATATGTGTGATTATACTACTGTATACGATTATACTACTACTATACTACTCGCTCAACTTATGTGACTAATATTTAGAGAAATGACAGTCACAAGATTCGTGGATGTATATGCTCAACAAGCTTCGGAAATTTCCCGTACACTGATAAGTTGTTTTTTTTTCTTTGCAATTCTTATTTTAGGACAATACTATGCAAGTACCATGGTGACCGTGACCTTATCGTTGGCGATGTCCGTTGCCGTACTCAACGTCCATTACAGAAGTCCCGAAGGAAGCCAAATGCCTAAATGGTTAAAAAAATTAGTATTCGGTCGAGTTGGGAGGTGTTTTGGCATTGATAGTAGCGAGATCAAAAAAGCCAGGGCAAAGCTTCCACGAAAAGATGTTTTCGGGATGTCTCATAAACTTAACGTCGAGGCAGGTATATGTAATATTGTGCGCCGTTTGGAGGGTAGTGATAGCCCCATATTTGGACGTAGCAGCCAGAATGGATCTGTGCGCTCAGGTACTAAGCGGAAAGAGCGGACCAATGCACCGACGTTGTGCGAGGAGAATCCCATTCTTCATCATTTGTTGGCAGAGTTCCGACGAGTGTCCACGTACTATGAATGGAAAAACAAAGCAGAAGAACTCCAAAATGAGTGGAGATTGTGTGCTATGATGTTGGACAGGATTTTTGTAATAGTTTACTTTTGTGGTTCTCTTTCTACCATTCTCATTATATGTATTCAGCTGCAGTATCAGTCGTAGAACCACCGCGTTGCGCCACACACACGGCGCTGAACTGGGAATGCATTGCCACGGTAACGCGATGAGATGGATACACAATGTGGTTTGGATTATTTGCTGTTTTTCTTTACAACAATGTTCATGTCTGTGTTAAACGCGTATACGTTTGCGTTATCACTTGAAATACTGTACTGTTCAAGTTCACGACCATGTGAAATAGATATCAAACCACTACAGATTTACAAATACCGAGTTTGTCATCTATAGTATGTCGTGTTTGTAAAGTTGGTTCAGTTTAAATTCGAGTGAACGTCCTTTTTACAAGAGACTGTGCGATGATGGGAATGCTGTAGGGCTCATACCTCTAATTGAAACTCCATACACGACAATGTTAACATGTGACGAGATTGCTATATGAAAATGTTGAACAAAGTTAAAAACATGGCCCAAAAATGAAAAACCAACATGCCAGTAATCAACCACATGTTGGCCAGCTCAAACTTTTGCAATTCTTGGATTGGATTGCCCCTAAAGAAATCACTGGAAAAACACCAAGATTAGAACATCCAAATACACACAGAATAAACTCACAGGTTAACAGTCGCTAAGTAGTAAACAAAAGACCACATGTTGGTCGCACCTTTGACCCAGGTGATCAAGCCCTCAAACAGGGAGCAGCCATTGGTTGATTTGTGGCATGAGACATGTATGTCGCAGTCTCATCGGAGTGTTTCAGGATTATAGAGCATGCGCATGGATGTAACTGACAATAGGTCTTACTCAGCTGATTGAAGAAATCGGTCGACGACCAGATGTATGTTTTAATGATCAAAAGCGATATGTGTGTATGTTTGTTTTTAATATTTGGTTTCATTTTCAATTTATATTGTATTTTATTTAACTATTTTCAAGCCTAACCATTTATTATTTAGATCGAGAAAGTTCAGACATGGACTTGAATATATATTTAACATTTATTTTATTATGAATTATTTACATAGACATATAAATTCATCGATATAAATAAGCCACGCAACACATCGTTGATTAAAGTCACGCCCTTTCGTGGTACAAATGTGTCGTCAATTTTAAGAAAATTGTTACGTCATGTTGACGTCACACGGGGCGCGGATAATTGAAAAGGTGCATTCGATGGCAAGCTGTGGGGTTTTGAGAGCCGCTAACTCACTGGCAATCAGAAGGATTACGTCATTTTATTTGTATAATCCATAATTTAAATACAAATATCGATAGTTGCACTATTTTTTGAAACTAGCTTCCAAGAATATTCAGTCGACATTTGTATTTACTTTTCATCGAGAAGTTGATCAGAGTAAATGTTCGAATCCGGTTTTTTTGAGCATTTATTTTTATTATTTGTAAATAATTAATACATTTTATGTATTTTTGTTTGTTTTTTGTTTTGTTTGTAATGTATTTTTAGTTTTTAGTTTTTTTTTTAAATGTATGATGACTAGTATTGAAACGGGTTTGAGATAAACTCGCCCTGATGAGTTTGTTTGAATTGAGCTTATACCTCAGTCTGCACATGCTTCTTATCACGTGATATGCGTGGAACGTAAATCCGACTTAAATCAACTCATGCGATGGTTGTCATCATTTAGGCGGTAACCGTCGCGGTGCCAAACCCTTGCCTTTTATCCTATCGGCATTTGTCTCATTGTTTATAATTTTACTTTAAGGTTTGTCTTTTATTTCAAATGAAATGTCAATCTCTAACTGTCTTTGTAATAACCACAGTCTCGCTATAGACTTTATTCTATCAATGTTTGTGTAATGATTTATCATCAGCAATGCCGTGACTTGAAAGTTTTTTGAGACGTAGTGCGCCACCAAACGACTAGTATCACGTGTCAATGGGTCACGCTCTCACCGGGTTATGCGTTTTAATGCAATTTTTATCGTTCTCGCCTTACCTAATGAGGATAATGTGATCACATCCTATTCCATTTATGATACTTTGACCACATCGAAATAAAATTATTTCTGGATCTTAAAATTTCATCTTTCTGGGAAAAAACAAGTGTGTCACTGTGAAATGTGATCGCGGTCCTGTAAAAATAACTCACATCAATGTCAAATTTAAACCAATGAAACACCAAAGTTCCACATTGCCCGTAAGTTCGGTTATTATTCGAGTTACGGGAAACATTAAACAAGACAATGCTGGCTGACAATGTTGGCCGTAACTCGAAGCTCAGTTACAATTTGGGCATGGTTTCGCAAAAGTGGGAATTGTTTCCAAAATATGGGCGTAACTAGATGTTTTCGTAACTCGATTTCCGTATCTCAAACAATGCAGCATCTCACTTTTTCCAGTAGATTATGTAACCCATTTAAAAAAAAATACATTTTACCAAATATGTTTACAATAGACTATTTTTGGTTATTTTTCTGTTCAGGTACTATGACATAAAGTTGTTCTTGTTTGAAAATCGACGCGTAACAATGCCGTATTATTGTTTACTTGCATCGAGTCACAAAGTACAACAGATATCCCAATACGCACTCAGGTGCAATATGCGATCGTTTTTGGGATAAATCTGGTGATCGCATCGCTGTTGGAACGTAATCTCGCATCTCGAACTTTCGAATTCACATTCAAGATATTAATCAAAGAAAAGACCGCAGTTGAATGTTCCAGAGTCTTCGGCTTAGCACGACGATTACCAAATATTATCCACTGCATATAACATCTAGGCTGGTCTTTGACTAACTAAACTACGTTCAAGATGCGATAAACATCGAGATATTAAGATTTAATTTACAACTTGAAATTTACATTACTGCTGCTGCATCTCCAAAAAAAGAGGTTTCAATGTGAACACGTGACCCTAAAAAGATGATGACGATAGCACTGAAGTGTACAGATTGTTCATTCTTGTCGATTTTCTATTTCGTATAACTATTTTGATTGTGTTAATACTGAGCGACAGGATATCCTCTGCTCGAGACTGCCTCAAACTGTCACGGAACTCTTTCGTTTAATGTTGAACCATTCGACTCCGGCTCAGCGAAACATATATATTCCAAAATTGACGGGGGTTCTCCATTTTTACGCTTTGTTAAACAAAAAAACAGGAGGGGTATACCATGTGCTTTTTAATGTTCTCTGTGTCATACAACTGTGTTGCGGCAATTTTAGGACCATGAATAACAATTTCCGATAATCGTCTGTTGAGATAATAAGAGACAATCTGTGATACGCCCCTGTACCAGCTTTAGATATTTTGCAAGACTGTACTTTGTTTTAATGGAACTTATTTTGGTTTATTCTTACTTCACTGACAAATTCATGCAAGAATTCCAGTCTTCACCATTGCCACTTCACGTTGTCATTGTGGTGTCCACCATTACGTCTACGTTAACGTCCGCTCTAAAATTGCGATGTCTTCAATGCACAGCACACTGACAAGACTTTACAAAACTCAATGCATCTAGCTAGTAGATCACGGTAAAAGAAAAATACAATAATAATAATGATTACTAGTAAAATTAAAACGATTTTGCATTTGCACAAAGACATTGCATTTCAATCAGTTCTATAGCTGTGAACGCAAATTCTGACATGTTGCCATGCCTGCGCCTGTATGCCACAGTCACTGGTCAACGATACTACACACGTTATAAACAATAAACGTTTAAAGAGTTGTTCGTCTTGTGGCGCTGTTTATGTCAGTGTTTGAAATTGTCATCTGCACGATAACATCACCACAAACAGGGGAAGCTCTATTGAGTATATTTAGTTACAAAAAAGTCAGTCTTCCAAATTATATTATTATATTCATCATGCATGTTTCACTTTCCGTGTCAACGGCTAGAAACATCACACAGCCACTTATCCTCTATTTATTCAGTTCCATCGCTTGGCGATTAAGATGATATCCGATGAATGTTCCTTCTTTTTAATAGCTCGGTATTTGGTGCCCATATAGATTCCGCGGATAGCAACATTTTTAATAATTTGTAAAACAACAACTGGCCGGGTATCTATCTAGTATGTTCGGAATATGAATACATTTGTTGTTTCACAAGACGATCGAATATCGCGTACATTTTATTTTTGCCAGTTTTTGTCTGCGTCTCAAATATGGTTGTCATTTCATAGTATTCTCAAGCGGACATCCGGGTATTGTCACCGCCTAGCAACCATCACGGTGAAAACAAAGGCAGAATAATCTCAGAAAAAGGTACTATGGGATAGTTCAGAGGTGGAATCGTGCATGAGGGCGCCCTTCTTTCAACGGAGTGTATTCTGTTTCATTACCGATTGCGTCGTGTTGGGGGTAACAGCCGGTCCACACGTACATCTGTCCACATCCGGTATGCACAACTTCACTGGCGTTTTCTACAGAAGTATTATTTAAATCATCGAGTACCCTTCTTCACTTTTCTCCTCGTTAAGGGTTTTCCTGATGGAAAGCTAGGGCAAACTTTACTATTGGATCCATTTTGGGTCAGCGTTTTAGGCGTTGTTATTAAGGAGTATAGACACAGCAAAGGCGGCGATAGCCCCTCGAAAAAATGTTGGGGGGCTTCGACCTTCCAAGATCAAGCTGAAACCCTTTGTGTCAGCAAAATATGCCCCTCAAAATGCAGGAAATAGCGATTCAGAGGGTCTAGATTTCAACATTTTTAAGGGAGAGCATGCCCCGGACCCATAGTAATGTTGCGCCTTACATGCACAATGTTGTGCCGCCGCCTCTGACCAGATCTTCCATTCCCATCGTACATCTCGACGATAAACTACACCACTAAACTAAATAAAAAATCAAAATTCTTGAAAAAAATAATATCGCCAATATTAAAGAAAGAAACGGATTTTCTTTACAAGTGACCTGACCCGTAGGACACGTGACACCTAATTGTGTATATTCGTGGTATATGAATACAAATTAGGACTCACAAATGCTATTTACAACCGTTTTTAACACCATTTTTTAAAAACACTAAAAGCGGGAGGGTTGTCACCTGCGCAAGCGCGGGAATTGAGTCCCACA